TCGCTCTCTCACACTCATAACAATAAATGGAACAAAACTCTCTCTCTCTCTCTCTCTCTCTCTCTCTCTCTCTCTCTCTCTCCCTCTCTCTCTCGCGCGCGCGCGCGCTTGTTAGCTCTTAGTCTCATTGATTTGGCTACCTTAGGGCTGCGTTCCCCTCGCCCACGCGGTAGACAATAACATTGGGGCCGTTAACCTGCGGCCAAGGCCGCGCCCTTTCCGATTCAGACTTTTCCACTTTTCCACCCTGCCACTGCCTTGCCACTGTTTCGACCAAAACCCAGTGCACAGTCCCACGGGCAGCTACCGGTCGCGCATTTTTCAAAGAACCTGCCACCACCCCCCAAAGATCCACCATGCCACTGCTTTGCTACTGTTTCGACCAAAACCCAGCGCGTGGTCCCACGTACAGCTACCAGTCCCACATTTTTCGAAGGAACTGCCACCCCCCCCCAAAGTGTCGTGCCTGCACCTGCCTGCATTTTTCGAACCTTCCAGCGACCAAACGAGCCCGAATGAACGACCAGGATAATGAAGGACGACGAAAATGTCTCGGGGGGAGATGTCTCAGGGGGGGGAAACGCACCCCTGACGGCCTGCGAACCTTTCCACTTTTCCACCCTGTCGCTGCTTTGCCACCGTTTCGACCAAAACCCAGCGCGCGGTCCCATGGGCAACTACCGGTCCCACATTTTTCAAAGAAATTGCCACCACCCCGCAAATATCCACCCTGCCGCTACTTTGCCACCGTTTCGACTAAAACCCAGCATGCGGTCCCACAGACAGCTACTGGTCCCGCATTTTTCAAAGAAACTGCCCCCCCCCCCCAAAGTGTCGTGCCTGCACATGCCGGCATTTTTTGAACCTTCCAACGACCAAACGAGCTCGAATCAATGACCGGTATAATGAAGTACGACGGGAATGTCTTGGGGGGAAATGTCTCAGGGGGGGAAACGCACCCGTGACGGGCTGCGAACTATACTATACCGCAGCCTTAGGGCTGCGAACAGTGAGTGGGCCCTCCACTCAGCGAACGGCGGACATGGCCACAGAGCTGGTTTGTTTCGGGATTTTCGAACTTTTGGGATGATCTCATCTGGACAGGGTGGCCCAACTCTATCTTCTGGTATTGGTCTCTTGTGGTTGGGGGGGAACTACCTACCCAAGGGAGTTGCGCGTCAGTCATTGGAATCGAGCCGCTGACCAGCCGCTGATGTCCTCTCGGTCCTCTCTCTCTCTCTCTCTCTCTCTCTCTCTCTGTGTCTCTCTGTGTGTGTCTGTCTCTGTCGTTCCTGCCTGTTTTTTCAATCTTTTGATACTCGTTGATTTGTCCTTGTTCCTGTGAACTTCATGGCTGAATGCAGCCTGCATTCCGGCCGTAAGGCGCCAGGCACAGGTGCGAACTCTCGCGAACAGCCTAAAAAAGAAAACCAAAAGAGAGCGCGAACATTGGAGGGCGCGCAAACAACGTTGGGGAGAGCGACAGAACGTACAGCAAAGAGCGTGAGGGCAGGCGGGAGACGACGAAGAGAATACAGCTTGTCGACCGTGGCTGATCGGCGAGGTGGGGTAGGTCGGGAGAAGTAGAGCTTCAAGAGGGCCAGACGGGTGGGTAGAGTCAGCGCAGGTAGACGTGGACGGCAGTCGCGATACAACCCCGTCCCCATTGTTGAGAGTCGATAGGTATCAGAGCGCACAGCTTGATTGGAGCTCACAGGGGGCAGGCAGCTAGGCAGGGGACAGACCGGATCGACAGAGGAGTGCAGAGAGGGCGGGAGACACAACAGAGGACGGGGTACGATTTGCAGTTCCATAGCGGGGGAACGAGAGGGCGGGAGAGAAAGGGCGGGCGTTTGGCGCCAGTGTACGGTCGTACACTTGCGTTCGTATGCAATTTGTACAGTTAGTAGTCATACACTTTCGTCGGTCTGAGGGGCGGGACTGGAGGTGGCGGTCTATTTCGCTTCCCGCTACCGACTCTCACAGGCAACAGGTAGGCGCACTGTCTAGTACCGAATCGCGAACTTATCACGCTGTTCATACTCCATCTTCCGCACTCCCTCTTCCCTGTTCTCTTCCGTGTTTGCATCGGTTGTGTAGCTGCCACCATTGTTTTCCTGCTTCTGTTACCCTCCTCCTCGTTTATCTCTCAAACGTCCTCCCTCACGTGTGCGGTCGTTGTGTGTCTGTGCTCGACCGGAGAGCTATCAAGTGCAAGCGCGTTTAACAATAGGCGTGTAATTTCCTAGGGTGCGGAGGCCATGTTGTTGCGCGGTGTCAAGCGCGGGTATCAGTAGAGCTCACCCTTCGCCAGATCCTCCTCCTATCGCAGGCGAAGGTCTGTCATCTGCAGACTGTGGAGTGCTGGTTGCCGAATCTTGTTCTGAACGGTGAGAAATCGCTGCGGCTGCTGCTCCAATCTAATCGCTGGTGGCAGGTGAAGCAGATAGGTGGAAACAGATGTATGATGCGCTGTGGCGCGGGAAGGAGACTATACGTGTAAGAGGTTAGGGGACAAGCGGTAGACGACTATATACAGTAGGAATTGCCGAGCTGCTTGTGAGTGCCTCCTCCTGACACACTCTTTCGCCCGCCCCCTTTTTTTTTCTGAGCATCTTGTGAGTGCCTCCTTCTGACACCCTCTTTCGCCCGCCCCCCTTTTTTTTCACTGCCCGATTTTACTCATTTCTTTGGCATTCTGGAACCTCTTCCTTGTCCATTTGGTCTAACTCTTCGTCGTCCCTGTTTTCTGGTGAGGTTGCCTACCTCGCCCTTGCTGTTCTCAAAACCGAAGGTGATAACTATGCACCTTCCTCGTTCACGTCTTCGGAAATCATGGAATCGACTCTAGGGATGCATGCTGCGTGTGTGTGTGTGTGTGTGTGTGTGTGTGTGTGTGTGTGTGTGTGAGAGAGAGAGAGAGAGAGAGAGAGAGAGAGAGAGAGAGTCTCCTCCTTGTTATCGGACGCTTAGGTGGTGCCCTGTGGTTTAGTCGTGTATTCTTAATTATTTACGAGGCAGGAAACGAGTAAGCAAAGTCGTGGACATCTGTCTGTAAGGTGGCTCTGTGTGTGTGTGTGTGAGAGAGAGAGAGAGAGAGAGAGAGAGAGAGAGAGAGAGAGAGAGAGAGAGAGAGAGAGAGAGAGAGAGAGAGAGAGAGNGAGAGAGAGAGAGAGAGAGAGAGAGAGAGAGAGAGAGAGAGAGAGAGAGAGAGAGAGAGAGAGAGAGAGAGAGAGAGTCTCCTCCTTGCTATCGGACTAGGTGGTGCCCTGTGGTGTAGTCGTGTATTCTTAATTATTTACGAGGCAGTCGTGTATTCTTAATTATTTACGAGGCAGGAAACGAGTAAGCAAAGTCGTGGACATCTATCTGTAAGGCGGCTTCTCGACCGCGTCCTTTTCCCGTTTCAGCGCTTCTGAAGTTAATTGTACATACCATCGTACCGTATGAAAATCACAAGTCGTTGGATCATCTTTGTGTGTCCTTCTCCCCTTCCTTTCGTCTGGCGAAATGGACTCGAAGTGTAACGAGTCCGCTAGATAGTAGCAAAAAGCCTGTAAAGTTTATCGATTTATTTTGTTGTGTAGGACATTAATTTTTGTCTGCTTGTTGCGTAGTTCTTACCTAGCTATTATGTTGTTAGCGCCATTTATTATGCATTGTCTAAAATCTACTATGTATATTTGACGATGTACATTTGTAATTTTTATTTTTTTAGCGCCATTGAAGATGCCGTTCAATTTTGAAATTTACCGACGAGGAAGTCTGCACGAGCGACTTTTGAAATTTGTTATTTTTATTTGTGGATGATTATAGTTCTACGATTTGAGCAGGTCGCTGGTGAATTTATCGAGCAGGTCGCTGATAAATTTAATCTTTTTTTTTTTTTTCGGAATGTGGAAACTCAAGCGCGATGATAGAGTTTTCATCTCTCTGCCATATCGGGGTCCGTTTGTGTTTATGAGAGTCGTCCCTTTCCTCTTTGGAAGCTTATTTATCATCTTAAATCCCTGTGCCTCAATAGTCTCTCTCTCTCTCTTTCTCTCTCTCTCTCTTACACACATACACAAGCTATAAATAATATAGTCTGTGCGGTTGGAACGTATACTTCGTTCTTTTGTTTCTCTCTGGTACGCTCATACGAGCCTGTTGTGTGAACGGGTTTATGTGGGTTGTTACTCGGTAGTTTTCTCCACATCACCTGGCCGGCTGTTCTCGTGGTCGATATCAATGTGCGTTAATTTTATGTCTGGGGGTTTTACAACGCCGCCTATCTCCACTCTCCTCTCTCGTTGTGGGGCAATATCACTGCGGCCCTGTTTTACTTGTACGCCCTTCCCTATGTCAGTTTCTATTGCCTCGGTGTCGATGCCCTGTTTGCCATTCTATCTGCCTTGGCCACCCGTCGTGCCCTGTGTCGCTGTTCATTTCTGTTCTCTTGCTCCCTGTCCTCCGTTCTTCAGCTCTTTTCCCGCCGCTCTCTTCTCTAGATCGTTCTGTGGCTGTCGCCTGACTGTCCTCTCTCTCTGTGGCTTCTCTTGCTCTGTAACTTGTGGACCCCACTCTCGCCTAGAACTCTCGCTTTGCCTTCTTCCCCCGTGCCATCGGTGTCGCGTTTATAATTTCTCATGGCTGTCACTCTTTCGCGGTGCGGTCTCTAGTAGCTTTATTTTTCAAGATTTCCTCTCCTTGTTTTTCTCTGTGGAATCTGTGCCACGTCTCATGCGGTTCACGTTTCGGTCTTTTCTATCTCCAGCTCTTCACTCTGTCGATGTCTGTTCTTCCGCGCTTTGCGCTCTTTCTGCCTCCTATTCGTTCTTATCAACTTTGTATCTTTTGCCTGTACTCCGTGTTCGCTTTCTCCGCTGTCTTTCGGTTCTGTCACCATCCCGTCTGTCTTTGTCGCCACTACCCTGTTCCCTCTGTCTACTGTGTTTCCTGTGTTCTCCTCTCTCCTGTGCCTTTTCCTGTCTCCTGACTGTCTCGTTCGCTCATCTCACCGTGTCTCGTCTTTTCAGTCTTGTCTTTTCTCTGTCCCTCTTTTTTGCGCGTCCTTCGTGCTCTCATGTCTTCCCTCTCTTCACGTTTGTCAACTCTCCTCTGTATCTTCTCCTCCAACTGCGTCGTTTTCTTCGTGGGTGCTCCCTCTTCTGCCTTTCCTGTCGACTTTCTTTGCCTCCTTTGTCTCTAGCTCGTTCTCCCATTTGCCTTCTACCTCCCTGTTATTCTCTCGGTGCTTTTCCCTCCTCCGCGTCTTCTTCTTGTCTGGTTCCTATTCGTCTCGCTCTCATCGACTCTTTCTGTGTGGTATGTATTCTCTTCTGTTGTCGTATATTCTGTGCCTCTCTGTGCTCCTTTTGTATACGTTTTGATAATGTTATCCACTTGGTTTTGTTCGTTTTGAGTTCAGAAAGCAGGACCTACTGAGCGAGGAAAGGGGTCATTCACCAAACTACAGCAATGCGTTTCTTGGAGGATATCACACCCTTCATCTCTCTTCCGAAAGTCGGGATGATGAGAAATGATAATCTTACAGGCCCCATGGGAGCAGACTCCTGGGCGCACTGGTGGACCGAGGTCGATGAGAGTCAGACGTGGCAACATCGCATATTTGAAACGTTGGCGTCGCTCTACTGCATCATCGGCATCGTCGCTCTGGTGAGTGCGTCGACAATCAGTTCCCAAGCCCCCGCCGTTTGACCCCCTCTGTGTAAAGTTAAGACGCAAAATCTTACGCGCAATCCGCTGTGTACGATCTGCTCAATCTTGCGGGTTTTGTGAGTGTGTTCGTTTTCCCTTGTGGCTCCTTAGGCGGGACTGATTCGTATCTGACTGCATTTTTAAGTATAGTTCACATCTCTGAAACCGTAAGACTTGTTAGCAGGTTTCCTTTTCGACTGGACTCAACATCCGTAGCGGTTTTCGCTACTCTTATGAGATGAGCACTCCTTTTCTTCAGGGTTTTCCTTGCCTGCTGCTGTTTTGTTTTTTTGCGGTCCAAATGAATGACAAGTGGTTTAACCCCCTCCAAGAAGGCCTTTCGCGAAGGGTTGAAGTACTCTGGTATCGTTCTCTACTTGCTCAGGAGGAAGGGGCTAGTGAAAACGAATATTATGGCCCAGACTGCAATGATTGTTGTTGCGACGACACCGGCAATGGCGACGATGATGATGATGACTATGATTGCTGGTGATCGTAAGAAGGGTTCCGATAATGATGATGATGGAGATAATGATGATAAGCACAAGTATGGGGACACTGGAAGTTATAAATGAGGACAAGTATGGGGACACTGGAAGTCATAAAAACGGCCTTCACCTCGATAGTGGATATACCGTTGATGACGATGGTGATGTTGACCGAGGTAACCATTGTCGATGATGGTGATTGATTGTGACGATGGGACTGACTATCATTCAGGATGATAACTCTAATGACGTTGACGGCAGACGATGGTGATGATGATGGTGTGATGATGGCAACGACATGGCAATCCTGAAGGCAATGTCGGCGATGGTGGCGATGATGATGATGATGATGATTATGCTGATGATGATGATGATGGAACGGCGATTCATTATGATGATCGAAGTGTTACGGTTTTTCTGCCTTGCAAACTCGTTGGTAACCGTAAGCCGAGGACAAGCAGTCTATGGTAGAGTGATAGAGAGAAATTAGTTCTTTTAATCCCATAAAGACGGCGGGGGGAGAGATACTATCAACGTCGGTCGCTCGTATCAGGCGGAATGTAGGTGTTGTTGTGCTTCGTTGTCGACGACATCGAGAACCAGGCTTCTTCATCGTGACGATGATAGCGGGAACATCAGCTTTTTCGTATCCCGAAATGGAAGGTCGCAGACGCTTTTCCCGGGTCTCATTATCTCCCATCTCTCTTTGTCTGTCGCGACAAACATATATATGTGACAACATATATATGTTCATCCACGTGGGCGGCCTTGTACGCAAGAGGTTCTGAACAGGGTGAGTTGTAAGGAAGAAAATGAAAAAACGAATTCATTTTTCCTTCTTTTTTTCGCTTTTGTGCTCTGATATTCATGTGACGATATTTTTCCGTCTTTGCGCTCCGATTTCCAGTGTGACAACATATATATGTTCACATGACCAGTGGCGAGGGCATGCGGGAAACAGAGTGAGAAAGCCATCAGTCAGCATGAACAAGACCTACGAGTCATAGAAGACGGTAGGGTTCGCTAAGTCCGCTGCTCTGCGTGTGGGAACGACCAGCTTTCCACCCGTAGGCAAACGCGCTGCTGATTTAGTAATAGATAGATCTGATGCGCTCACACTTATCGCGTCCGTAAGCGACGCATGAGGAAGATGCGTGGCGGTGAAAATGTTAATCATGTGGCTTAATCCAGCGAGCGGAGGCTTCTGTCCCGTATATTAACGTGTCACGTGATTGTGCTCTTGCCGAGTTGCGCTGTCGCCCTGTCTTTCAATATAGTTCGTGTTCTCTTTGACTAAGTTGCGCTCTGGTTCAATATTTAGTATGTCTTCTCTTTTACTGAGGGTTCAATATAGTATGTCTTCTCTTTTACTGAGTGAATCTTGCTCGGTAATTCTAATTTGCTATTTACTGAAATGAAACTGTGGGTCGTATCATTTGCAAATCGTTCTCATTCCTGATCGGTTGCTTCTTGTGCTCTTGATTTCAGGTTCAATTGATCCGCATTCAATGGCGGGTACCCGAGTACGGCTGGACGACGCAGAAGGTGTTCCACTTGCTCAACTTCGTCGTAAATACATGTGCGTTGACCTTCATTTCAATGGAACTCGCGGTGCTGTCACGATGTTTTCTCTTGCTTGATGTTGGTATTGTTTGGAGTTCGATTGATTATTCGTTTGGTTCCATGTGAAAACGCTGAGATGAATTATCGATTCGCTCTAGTCGTCAGTTTTCACTCTCCGTGACGCGTTGCCCCCTCCCCCCTTTTCTCTCCTCTCTCCCACCTCGGCCGTTCCCACTGCGAGCGCGATTGTATCTTCTGAATCCTAGTTTCATGGACAGAGCCTTGAAAGACTGGACAGATGAACGTCAGTGGCGCAGGCGGATGGCGACCCATACTACTCCGCGCAATATTCTTTCTTCCTGACGGAACGGAAGCTTGGTATCAATATCGTATTACCATAGTAAATGCGCTATGGAAACGAATCGCGTGCGGTGCGATTGCCGTCTTCACCTGAATAGAACGCCCGGTCATTATAGCTGTATTTGGTGCTACTTCCAGTCCGGATACGGCAATAATTACCGGGCGTTCTATTCCGGTGAAGACGGTAGTGGCGGTGTGTTGAAAATATGTCGTCAGAGCGTAGCGCTTGCGAGTCCGTCGTTCTTTTTGCATTAGGTGTTTAGATCGGGTCAGCAGTCGTGTACTCTGTTGAGTTCAGGCGGAATTTTCTTTCTGTTTTTTACTTTAAGTCTAGGGGAATCCGTTGACACTCACTGCATTAGGTGTTTAGATCGGGTCAGCAGTCGTGTACTCTGTTCAGGAGGATTTTTCTCTGTTATTTACTTTGAAGTCTAGTCTTCCCCCGAATACAACGTACGGTCATTATAGCTGAATTTGGTGGATCTTTCAGTCTAAATTCAGGTATAATGACGGTACGTTGTATTCGGGGGAAGACTGTAGGGGAATCCGTTGACTGCTTCGGTTGGCAATAGGTGAAAATGGCGCTGTCGTAATTACTGCATGGGAACGCAAGCGGCGAAAATGACCTCGCCAGGATCTGCGCCTTGCGGCGTTTCGTACCTTGCCCACATACGATCTGACCGGGCTGCCCGCATGCCAGCTTTGGCCTTCACCCTGTGGTTTTGCTGTTTCTTGTTGGATGAAACCGTTGTCAGCAGCGAGGGTCCACGGTTCGTCAATCAGTGTATATATACGATATATATCGACGGTGTTATTGCCACATAGAAGACATTTCCTGGGTTGATGTGGGGAGAGAATGAGTGATGTATTTTCCACCTGGTGTTGGTGAGTGATAATGTGCTTTGATTTTCGTCACAGGTACCTTGAGGGCAGTGGTTGGTGGTGGTCCCCACCACCTCAGAGGGGTATCATCAGTTGTCGGGCAGTCGTTATGCTTGACCACAGTCGGTATTAAGGTGAAATATTACTTAGTGTACTCAGTGAGGGGTTTCAGCCTCCTGATGAGTCGGTGGTGAAACTCCGACGACGAACATTTTGTAACAGCCCCTCGTTTGTTGTCCCCTTCTCCCTCCCTCTCTGCCTACGGTTTACCGTAGGCAGCTCTGTTTGACGAAATGTATGCGGGATTGCAGCGTAGGAAAAAGGTAGAGAGAACTTCTTTCGTCAAACTGGAGGCGTGCGTCAGCGCAATAGCCCGCTGCGAAGTGTCGTGTGCGTGAGGTGATCAGCAGCCATGGGTTGAATCTTCGTCGCAAACATGGGGCGTTTTTACTGAAAGATTGACCTTGTGGATTTTTATTGTACTTTCTTTTTCCTCTTGTGGAAGTATTTACTATAGTACAGGTGCAATTGTGAGCTTCGGTGTTCGATAAGTATGTCATGAGCACCACGCAGTGCTGCTGCAGGGGGGGATGGAAACCCGGCCTGTGGCTGAATTGTTCGTTTCTTGTCGAATGACAATAATCGGCTGCTCTTCAAGGTTCTACTGGGTGCAGAAAACCTTATCGACGAGGTTGGAATGGGTGCAAGACACCTTGTGGGCCCTTTATGCTGTCATATGTTCACCATTTTTTTGAATCTTGAACGTTATTCTGGGCAATACTGTTACTTCGGTCTGGTCGCTAGACGCTGTGGCAGTGAAGAAGAGCACGGTACTTCATATTTCTTGTCCAGGTTTGGGTTTTATGGTTTACAATGTGGTCTATCCCGACCAATAAGGTCGCGCGGGTAGAGCGAAGAGGGATGCCTTGAACCATGTGCAGGCTATTCTCTCAGCTCTGGGGGTTTGAGCAAAGGGCCAGGAACGTCAATGGTATTGTCGAGCTTGTAATGCGAGTCAGCTGTATGTTGTTACGATGGTGGGTTGTTAATCGCTGTTGTTCTTCGGATCGGTCTTAAAAAAAGAAGAGGAAAATGTCGTGCAGTGCACGCAAGGTGAATTTCTCATCGAGTGTTGTTCTTCGGATCGGTCTTAAAAAAAGAAGAGGAAAATGTCGTGCAGCGCACGCAAGGTGAATTTCTGATGGAGCTTTGATGTAACGACGTGCATGCGTGTTCAAATTATATAATGACTACGTTCTCGTCGCTGTGTCGTGTGTTGTCTACGTGCTACCATCTTTTTCTGGCGACAGTGAGAGCTCTGGTATTCATCTTCCGGGATTCGGTTCAATCGCTATCGATAAGGGTTCGTTCACGTTTTCAACCGTCGCCCCATCCATCAGCCAGCTTCTTCCCTTGTTGCTATGTCTTTTCCCCTCCGCTTTCCTGTTTGTCTACGACGGCCAGCGTCCCACGGCTCGTGGAAGGACCGTGTGTTTTTCTCAAAGGATGCGTGCGTGTATGTATCTGTGCGAGTGCTTTGTGTTTTGCGTATTTGTTTCTTTATTGTTCGTGTTTGTAGGTGGGTAGGTGGGTACGTGCATTTTCTGTCTCTGACCTGCATGTATCTGTGCGAGTGTGTGCATGGTTGGATGTAATGGGCGGGTTAGTCTTTGCCTCCCCCTTGTCCCTATTCGGCCGCGCTGTCCTCTATATGCTTATGCCAGTTGATCTCTATCCTTTCTCTATCTGAAATATTCCCCCTTTTGTGCGGATGCTTACATTTCCGAGGTTGAGGAGAACTAATGAATGAACAGACGCGTGTGGAAGGTGGCCTTCGAATCTGTTTTGACGGTGTGTGTTTATGAGGGGTGGGAGAAGGTCCTGCATCTCTTGCAGGGGTCATTGTTTGACTTATAATTGATTTGCTGTCGTGATTCTGTGCAGGTCCTCGGTTCGGTTCTGTTGGATCTTCCTGGGGTTTTGTTCTTCACAACGTACACGCTTCTTGTGCTATTTTGGGCAGAGATTTATCACCAGGTCGGGTTATCATTTCACCACTCGGCCACTCGGTCTGTTCCTCGTTTCTGAATCAGTCTTTCCTGCTTCCCGATAGCGTAATCTTGTTGCCACGTTCCCTGTGTCAGAATGTGACCGCAGTTGAGGAACTTGCAATCTCGAAGCTTTGCTCGTCGCCCGACTGCGTTTGTCTTCAAATATTTGTTCCTATTTGTGATGATTTCGCATCGTGTTCTAATCATCGTACCTGATTATCGCTTACTGTTGCAGGCTAGAAGCTTGTCAACGGAGTACCTGAGACCGATCTTCTTGGGCATTAACATTTTCGTCTACGCTGTGCAGGTATGCATAATGTCCAATTCTCTGGCCCGTTCGTCTTTCGAATAAAACCCCATGAGCCGTAGGACCGATGCACTTGAGCAGGCAGGAAACTTCCGTCTTACGTGCGTGTCCCGAAAATGGTGTTGCTTGTGTGTCATTCCCATGCGTGTCCTGAAAATGATGTTGCTTGTGTGTCATTCCCATTCAGTATCCGATCGGAAATCGTACGCTATCCGATTCTGACACCTTCGATACTGCCGCCTTTTCACCAGACTAAATGTTTGTGTGATATTCTTCTTGTCACAATATATATACAGACACACACACACACACACACAGAAGGGATCTTTCCGATTGCCGAACCGTCATGGCGTTGTGTACGACCAGGGCACCGTCGTACGAACAGTCAAGAGTGTGAATGACAACTTCCCTTCAGGAAGATTGTGTGTCAATTTCTTACTGTTTGTCTAAGTGCTTGAGTACATACCCTTGCCCTTCTATATCCGCTTTGGGCTTTTCGAAATGTGGGGAAATCCAATGAATTGGGGGAAGCGTATGGGGAAATTTATTGTCCATTGTCATGGTTTTGATTTATGTTCAGGTATTTCGGGCCATCGATAGAGGGCATAGAATTGGAAAAGATTGTACGAAGTAGGTTCTGTAAGGTTTTGCCAAACTTGCAATCACTGGAGCTGCCGGTGGATGAACGACCGACGCTGGTCCAGTTTCCCCGATGTTCTTCAAACCTATTCTTCGGCTTTTGTTCTCCTCGTCTCTCTTTCTCCCTGGCTTCTTTTTCAAGTTCTAATAATCCATTGGGCATAAACTTATCTGTAGATAAAATAGCTTTTTATCCCTATTTTTACGGTGCGCCGTCTCACAACCAATTTCGATGGGCTTTCAATTCAATCAAAGCCTAGCCAACGTCACTCCCATTGCGCAATGTGGCTTAAAGCATCCAACTCACCCAATTGGGACCAACTCGATGGGGACCGCAGCATGTTGGAAAAGAGCGGAATCCATGAACGGGGTTCGTTTTTGACCCTCGCTCTGTCGTTCGTCGTGTAATTACGTACTCAAGTTCTGAAGAGCCCGAGTCAGGGCGTACTTGTACTTGGACTTTTTCTACTGAACTCTGGACATGATCGCGGTCAGATTCATTCTGGGCTGGCCGTAATTGCGATGAGATACATTTTGGAAAATGCTAGTGTTGGGGATGGCTCAATGCCTTTTATTTGTAAATAGCAGATAGTGGGTTTTGATTCCTGGTGTTCAGAATTGCATTTGTTCTCACGATAAAAAAAAACTTGAAAATTGAAATTGCGCCTTTCGAATTCAACTGCTTTTAGATAGTGCTTCTCCTGTCACATTTTCTGCTAAGCATACTTTTAACAATCTTTGTTTTTCTGTTACGTTTATTTAAGTGGAGAAACGTTTTTCTTGTTCATTAATGTTTGCAGAGTGGAATCTGGGTGTATATGTATGCTCATCCCGGCGCCCATGAATCTGCTGACTTCTGGGCGAAAGTATTCTTTGCAGGTTGGTAAAGCTTGCCCTCCCCGAGCCTGACGCCATCCGTTTCACGATTGTATACGATTGTATACGATTGTATATGATTGTGTGTTGGCTCTATTTTTATTCTTTTCGTTGTGTGTGTTCAGCAATTTACGAAATTCTCTGTTTTCCTGCTAGCATTTCCTAATGACCCCCCTAAGAAGACCACGATCTCTCATTAGCACTGCATGTTCGGAATCGAGCCTAAAGGCACTGAAAGATGACGTCCAGAGATTACATTGAAGACGGCACTTGGAGTGCTGCCTGTGCTATCGATAGAGGAGTGCTACTGGGATAGACTTTGTTCTCGAAGTCCGAGAGAGTGTGTGGCTCCTTGTACAGCAAAGGGTGGATGACATTGGAGAGACTGATTTATCCATGCCGAGGCGAAGCTGAAAGGAACAGAGGGGATGTCTTCATGAGCAATCGTTGAACGAGGGTTGTGGTCCTAAGGTGGTAGTGTCTTGGCTTGGGGTTTAGCATGTGGCGTAATCACATTCCTTTCTGCGTGTGGTTTATTGATTTCCTGCCTCTGGATGTTTGCTCATTTGTTGCTCGTTGCTCCTCTTGCGTGCTGGCCTGCCTGATTGTCGAACTCGTCTCGACTCTCATGGCCTTGATGTCGTGGGTGGACTGTTTTGCACGGCCTGGGCTTGATTTAAAGGCGCTGTTGCACCATGGTATATTCATTAATGTGTAGTTCAGTGCTGAGTATCTGTTTTGTGGGTTTTAGGAGAAGTATTTTGGAGCTGTTGTTCAGTCGAGGGTGGTGATCTCTGTCAGAACATGCAGAGAGGATGAGGAGCCGTCTTGTCAGCTCACAATGAGGCGGCTCTGTTGTTTTTCCAGCCTAGTACACTTTGTCTATTTCTCGTTGCGTGGTTGGTTCTGATGTCTTGGCAGAACTGATTGGCTTTCAGCACCATGTTTACTAACTTGTGTCTCGGTTTGTGGTCTCTGCTCTGTGATGGGGTTGAACGTGGGACATGGCAGTCATCTCCTTCGTTGCCGCACTTGGATTCGTCATCTACGGTGGCCGGTGAGCATCTGCTTTCATTATTTGTCGCATATTTCGTTGTGAGCCCCTATATGATGAATTGGGCCCTTGTTAGGGGTTTGTTTTAATGAAGGTTTTTGCTCCAATCCTAAACTTGATGAAAGGTATTTCTCCATAAGCATTGCAGTCTGAACGGTCATAGATCAGTTTCACCTTATTCCGAATGATTTTGGGTACCATAGCGGCATCACATTACACATCCTGCCAAATGCTTGTTAGGGGGTCGTTTTAATCAAGGTTTTTGCTCCAATCCTGAACTTGATGAAAGCTGTTTCTCCATAAGCATTGAAATCTGAACGGTCATAGATCAGTTTCACCTTATTCCGAATGATTTTGGGTACCATAGCTGCATCACATTACACATCCTGCCAAAATCGTGCATAAGAAGTGACCTAATACTGTTGGTTGTGGGCTGAATGTGGGTAACTTGTGACCGGCATTTAGTATGCTCGGAGGTGAAGAAGTGTACACGCCTTCAAATTTCCCAGATCAGAAGCTCAAGCTTGTCTGAGAATAAAAGACTCCAAAATGTTGGTTTCTTTTGTTTCCCCAACTGTAGCGGGGCATGAGGAAGTTTGATCATTGGATGTACAAGTTCATTTCTTGTAATAGTTTTTGATCATTGGATGTACAAGTTTGTTTCTTATAATAAGTCGGCGACATAGAATATCTAACTCGAGTGGAATGGTGGTTATGATTCATACCAGTCTCTTTTACATGCTGAGAAGGTTCCCCATTGAGTCAAAGGGAAGGAGAAAGAAGCTCAGCGAGGTCGGCTTTGTGACACTCATCTGCTTCATTTGCTTCACGTTCCGCGGGATTGTGGTGAGTCCCTTTCTGTCCTTTTCTCTATGCCTCGGAAATCTTTGACTATAAAGTGCTTTTGAAGTCTCAAATGTAGCATGTTTGTGACAGCACTTGCACGCTGAGAAATGGACGATAATGTGTTAGGATGGTCCAGTCTTTTGTATTTTGAACTGTACTCGATGGTTCTGGCTCCAACGTTACTCGGGTTCGCTTTCGAGCACCACGTTGTTGCGAATTAGACAGAGAAAACAAAACGGACGAGGTATGGGCGGTCGGTCAGCAATGATTGCTGCTGCCCAAGGGATATTGACTGTGGTATTGTTTTGGCATCAGTTGCCCAAGGACCGGTCCCAGTGCCCTCGGTTCACTCGGTTCTTTTGGTATCAATTTCCCAAGGACCCGTCCCAGTGCCCTTTTGGTATCGATTTCCCAAGGGGTGCCAACGGTTTTTCTTTCACCGTTCATCTGTTTTCACTCGGTTTGTCTTTCTGCACTCTTATGTCTAGGTTCCTATGAACGAAAAGTATTCCCCTCCTGCCTGGACGTGTGCCATCTTTTCTTCTCAGCTTCCCCTCCTGTCTGGACGTGTGCCATCATTTCATCTCAGCTTCTTGCCCTTGGCCGTATGGCAGTCGTCCCTTTGAACAGTCATTCCTTCGTCTTGATCTCGGTTTCTTGGAGAAGAGCGCTAGGTTTATCTTTTTGCCCAAGGCTCGAATGCTTCTCTTTATTTCCTTCTCAGTTGTATGTTGATGATCTCCTTTGAGGTAACCTATGTGTAATTTTGTCCGGGCGGACCGTGCCATATTTCTTGCACCTCTTTTTTTTTTCTGTGGTCCGATGGACCACGGATCACATATTAAACTGATCAGAACAGATACTACACTTGATCTTAGCCAAAAGGCCGGGAAAGGTATTATTTCTTGCACCTCTTATGTGCAGCGTTCAGATGAAAACGAATGATGGTTTCAGTACAGTTGATTTCTGCTATTGCCAAGTTGTTTTCCCTCTTTCTTGCATTGATAAGCTCCTGTCGTAGGTCATGGCGTTTTAGTCCGTGTCATAGGTGGTGCGAGTGCTCATAGTGTAGTTTCTGTGCTGCTGCTGTATTTCTGTGATATTACGGTGTGCTAATTACCTTCTTTTTCAAAATGTCTGCTTTTGATGTTTTTTTTGGGGGGGGGAGATGTGCATGCCCTGGACATTGTTTCATTTTCTAACTTCGGCAATTTGTTGTTCTGACAGGTTTCGGTATCTGCATTCGACAAGTCGGCCGACTTGGACGTGCTTGATCATCCTATCTTGAATTTCATCTATTACATGGTCAGTAACCTGAGCGTAAAAGAACCTGTTAGGTATCTTGCAATCAATGGCAAGGGCATCATACAAGTGAGACAAACGTGAGGAAAATGGAAAAAGAGGTGAAAAGAACCAACAGCTGAATGTGACGAAACCTGAAGAGGCGAAAAGAACTAAAAGGCTAGTAAAAGCTGAATGTGACGAGACCTTATAATGAGAGGTTGTCATTTACACAATAACTGCAGGGGTGGTTGTGCGAGGACGGAAGAAGATGGGGCGTGATATATACTCTAGAGAACATTGCACGACCTCGATAGGGAGGTGCAATTGATGAAAGATGCAGAATAGCATCAGATGTCAGTACGGATAAGGATCACTGAACCAAATAATGGTTTCGTCGAAAAAGATTGGAAGTCGAATCAGTTAGCATTGTCTGTAATAATCTCTCTATTCTTTAATAATCGGTGATGTGTTATCTCACTACCTATTTTATTGCTTGCCGTTTCTCTCGATGGATGTTTGGTTCCTTGAAGTATCTCGATCCATGCATCGTAGGATCTTTGCATGCTAACATGCTTTACAATCTTTGCTATTCCCAGCCATTCTTTCATCTGTGCACCTGTCCAATCCTATGTGAAAACGTCCGTGGAGCCGACCTGTGTGAGTTGGGTATAAAGTTACTATAAACCTTTGGCAGAAAAAGACGTGCCAACGAGCTCCGAGAGACCTGGTGGCTGAGTACAGTGACCTTGACGTGCATTAGACAGAAATGGCAGAAAAAGACGTCCATAAATGTCCTTCATCAGTGAAAAAGATAACACAAACGGATCCGCACATTGTGGATCTAGTTTTGCAAGGTCGTTGGTCTTTGCTTTCCTTCTGGCTTTTTTTGAATAAAATTTGATTGGATTTTTCATTGTTTTTTATACATTTTGCTGAGTCCTTGTCTCCGTCCTTCTTCTTTTCTGCACTGTTTGTGTCCTTGCTCCTGTATCTTTCTGTTGCTCCTACCACATCGTCTTTTGACATTATCTGTTTGGCGTGTCTTGTCCCTTTCCCTTTTCACTGCACCTCTCTTGCGCTCTGTTGGTTCTCTGCCAACTGCCCATCCCCCTGCCTTTCTGTTTGTCTTTGTTCTCTATGTATGGTACTGCAGATATCAGAAGTTATTCCATCGGCCCTCGTACTCTACATCTTGAGGAAGCTGCCACCGAGAAGAATGACTGGGCAGTACCACGCCATCCGATAAGGGTACTCACTTTCATCAGTCACCATGTCGTTTTGTGTGGGCGTGCATGTGTGTGTGTGTGTGTGTGAGAGAGAGAGAGAGAGAGAGAGAGCATAATAAGTCTCTATAAAACGGTTTGCAGATTCGCACTGTTCAGCTGACTCTTTTGTTGGTCAACCCTTTTGAGTCCAGGATAGTGTGGACTCATGGGGAACATAGACGGATAAGATAGGTAGATAGGTAGGAGTGGATAGATAGGGAAGGTAGCTGAGAATGTCAGGTGACTGACGTAGCTTAGCATTTGATTTGTCTAAAACTGTGAGGGAGTGTCTTAACATTGGGCAGGAGTTAGCGGTGCTGGTCGATGAGCCATGACAGGAAGGAGAATACTAGTGGAGGATGCAGAGATCGTACTGGTTGTGAGTAGAGGAGGGGAGTACCGGGAGATGCATATGCAGTTTTATGAAGGGCACACAGCAGTGGCAGCTATCTTCTTCCTATGGTTCCTTGTTGACATGGTGGGATTGCAGCGAAGATGCAGCATAAGCCATGCAAGTCGAGCGTGGTAGACTGCATAGAATTGCTGACTCGATGATTGTGTTCGGTGAGTTGTTTTGTTAGAGGTGCCCTTACAGTGATATTGTAATTATGGTATATATATATACGGGGTTTTTGATCACTTAGTTTGAAGGGAAGGGCAAAAAGGACCCAAGGGGCCTGATTGTGGGAGAGTAGGAAGAAGTGTGCTACGGGCTGGAGGTCAGACAGAAGCATGGATAGACATGTTTTTTAGCATGTTATCTTTATTGTAGTGCTAAGACGCTGTAGTACTGCACGTACAAAAGGAGCGAGGAGTGCGGAGAGGAGTATCATGATTGCCGCAATTATTGGGAATGGGTGCTTTGGAAGAGGCCGAAGCCAATAATGGAGTCAAGTGTGGGCGTTCTGCTGTGACAGCTGGGAGGATCAAGATTCCAAAGTAGAGGCGAAGACTAAACACTCCAGAGGTGGGCACAAATTTGGGAGGAGCTTTGGTATATATGACAGGATTGTGAAGCAACAAAACAGTGGCTCTGTGGTACAAACTGGTATTTTACAAGTTTATGAAGGCAGGTTTGCCAAACGGTACCCTAACGGTCGTTTGCCTTCTCCCGTTCTGTTTTTTTAAATCCCTTTGTACCGTTTATCCCACTTTGTGGTACTTCGGTCGTTGAGGGTGTGTGTGTGTGTGTGTGTGTGTGTGTCTCTGTGTGTGTGAGAGAGAGAGAGAGAGAGAGAGAGAGAGAGAGAGAGAGAGAGAGAGAGAGGATTGATTTGTTGATTGAAGGATTGGTTGGCAGCAGGATGCAAATGAGGGGGGCAATGCGGCCCTCCACTTGATTGGTCTGGGGTGGTTACTTGGAAGACGTGCTCAAAGAGAGGATGGATGGTTACTTGATTTAGGTTGGGGCTTTCACGGAGAGTGCGTGATGTGTCGAAAGCAATTTATTATGAAGGTTGAATCCGTCGTCTTGTTAAAGTCGAAGATCGTACTCGGCATAGGTGGTCTGCCATGTGTGGCACACACTGGTTGTCAGTGTGTCAGGACTGAAGCATTGCATCCGGTCACGTTGTTGACAAATGAACGAGAGGATGGATGGATGGATGGGAGGGCGGACGGATAAATAATATCTGGATTGAGGTAGCGGCTACAGTGGGGCGTTGGAAACTCCTAGGGAAGACTCAGGGTCACTGCTGGGAAGGCTCAGGGAAGGGAATAGGGAGGGGAGAGCGTTACCAGAGGATTTGTAAGACAAGAGTTCATGCCCTGAAGGGTAGTCACAGTTCGTGCTCTCGAGGGAGACGGATTCATGCTCTCGAGGATGACAGTTGATGCTCTCGAGGGAGACTTCTTTCAGATGTGACTTGTTTACGCACTTGGTGCTTTGCCCCCATCTCATTACTCTGGAGGTTTTCCTTTGGGTGTATTTCTCTGAGTTATCCTCATTGTCTGGGTCCTCGACAGGCGGCTTGTGAAGGCGAGGAAGTGAATCGTACCTATTATTTTCTATTTGAACTGTTTGTGTTTTTGCATCCTCTTTTTTTTTTAATTTGTTTCGAGTTCTCTCATGGACTTTCTGCTGTGCTGGTGTTAAAACGTTCGTCTGCTAATCATGCTTTCGATAGGGCAATGACTACTTGGAAGCCTGAACTATGCTCTTATTGAAGAGCTCAATCTCGAGCTGAGTTATGTTCGGTCGGAGTCATGTGTGCTGAGTCTGAAAACTGTATTAACAGGTGCTGGACGGGCAAGAGTGTGTGTGTGTGTGTGTGTGTGTGTGTGTGTGTGTGTGTGTGTGCACGGGCAATCACCAGATTCACCACACGCAAGGTATTAACAGGTGTAGGACGTGCTAGGCGACATTTGAAAATATCCAGTGGATTCATGAGTGGGATACGAAATTTAATTCATATATGACCGCAAATTCATGAACTGTAAATTAGCTCTGTAACTACCGATGCTGTGGAAGACGGGGGTATTCTAATTTAGTTGGGCATGTTGTCCCTCTTAAATTGTCAATTCCCCCCATCGTCCCTGCGGGTGTGCTCGTCTTTTGTGAATGAATGGCATGCTTTGATGAATTACATCAACCATGCTCGCAGAGTAGGGTTTTTTTTTTTTTTTTTTTTTT